TGGATGGATGGATGGATGGATGGATGGATGGATAGGTGGGTGGATGGATGGGTGGGAAGGTGGATGGATGTATGGGTGGATGGATGGATGGATGGATGGATGGATGGATAGGTGGGTGGATGGATGGGTGGGAAGGTGGATGGATGGGTGGATGGATGAGTGGAAGGAAGGAAGGAAGAAGTGGTATAGAAATTTCCTTTGAATTAAGGAATGGAGGAGCTAAACAAATGTAGAAGGAGAAAAACAGCAGTAGTAAAATTGTTGTCAGAAAAAAAAGTTAAAATTTTTCTGGCCAGATGAAGGCTGCTCTCTTATTACAATACAAAATTACATAGAGGCAAAATTAGTAACGATAGGGAATTTTGGTTACTTAATTTTCATTCAGAGAAGAGCAAAACATTTTAGTATAATTTTTACCTGCCCTTCTGACAATGTCAACTTCAGAGGGAAGTAGATGAAAATTGCTATTTTACAATTAATATGACTAAAAATATAAAACTACTAGTCGAACATTTCAAAAGCCTTAAAGTGACCAATGCGTTTTAAGAATGTGTTAATGGGGCACCTCGGTAGCTCAGTAGGTTAAGCATCTGCCTTCAGTTCAAGTCATGACCCTAAGGTCCTAGGATCAAACCCCATGTCAGGTTCCCTGATCAGCATGGAATTTGCTTCTCCCTCTTCCTCTGCTCCTCCCCCCTATTCACGATCTCTCTCTCTCAAATCATTAATTTTTTTTAAAAGAATGTGCTAATATTGGGGCATCTGGGTGGCCCAGGTAGCTGAGCATCCAACTCTTGGTTTCAGCTAAACTCGTGATCTCAGGGTTGTGAGGTATAGCCCCATATTGGGCTCTGTGCTCAGCAGGAAGTCTGATTGGGATTCTCTGCCTTTGTCCCTCCCTCACTTGCTCACTCTCTTTCTCTCTCTCTCAAATAAATATCTCTTAAAAAAAGAAGTGTTAATACAACAAAAATGAAAATCCTACATATACTAATTCTCCAAATTGCTCAAAAGATTTTTAAACTTAAGAAAACACAGAAATAATATAACCTAAAACTACGTTTTTAAAAGATAGAAATACGAATAAGACACCAAAAAATAATCCAGTCTTGAGAATGATTCAAATGAAGAAGTAAAATGTGATTAATGTGAAGAAACATTTATCTTCACTTTTACAGCTTCAACTAACTCCTGTTGAATGGATCCAGTTTTAAGAGGGGAATGAGAAGCAAGAACCAGAGTTAAGTAAACAAGATTTCTCCAAACATCAAGACTTCTTAGAAGGTGCAGAATGAGAAGAGGTTTACAAAACATACCAAAAGAAAAAAAAAAGTTTTTTTGAAGTAATGTCTTATAGAGCAAAGAAAGAATGGAATCACTGATAGGGGACGTAACAGATGATAGAGAAAACAGAAGAATTACTGAACTTACAGTTAATTCTCATCCATCTCTCAGTATCCTGATCCCCAGACCTTGCTTGTTTCTCCCCTCATAGTGCTGACAAACTCTTAACATTCTTTATAATCTATATTATATAGATTATATATAACTCATTTATTCTATAATCTATATACTATAATCTATATATTCTATATATAAAGTATAATCTTTATACTCTATATTCTAACATTCTATGGAAAACACATATATGATATTCTTCATATCTTCCTCCTCCATAATATAGCTTCATGAGGGAAGGAATTCCTCTCTCTTTTGTTCATTGATAGCCCATGTTCTTAAAACAATTCCTGGCACAAAGTAGGTTCCCTATTCTTTCTGAATGATTTTTTTTTTGGTATAAGTAAAAATGATATTTAAAATAAAAAGGGTAGATTAATTACAGTTGAGGTATGATTTTAAAAAGCAAAGCTCTGTAAGATGAAAAAGTAAGTAGTTACTCTGAAAAAGAGAGTTCTCCAAATTCAGGGCATTTATATCCCAGGATATAGAAAGAAATTTATGTATGATCAAAGGATCACCTTTGAAAAATCCTAGTGAGTAAGGGAACATCATGCAAATGTAATTTTGAAAAGCGAGAGAAAGTTGGAATAAAGACTGTGTAATTAAAATGAATCACTGGCAAAATTCCATAACTGGTTATAATACAAAGTATATGTGACTACCTAACATTATGTTAGTCACAAAGAGCAAATGTAGGCAAACAAAGAACAAATCATATCTGGAAAAAAGCATCCCATTTTTGCTAGAATTTCTTAAATGGCTGTTAAGTTTACATGGACATGATGGAGAGTCACATAGGGTCAGTCATTAAGGGAATTAGACATAGTGAAGCATCATGTGTGATTATCAAAGAGATGACTTAGACACAGTGTAGGCTTATGTGTGCTGACGTGGTGATGACATAATCATAGAACAGCATGATATGCATTCATGGGAAGGTGACACAGATACAATATAGTGTTATAGGTGGTCATCACAGAGATGATGCAAACATAGTGAAGCATGATGTGTGGTTGTCATGGAGATGAAAACACACAGCATAGCATCATACATGACATCAAAAAGATAATGGAAATGGTGTGTAGAGTCATCTATGGACTATAGAAAGATGGCACATACCAGTGTAGCAACATATGGGGTCATCAACCAATGGGACAGATACATTGTATCATCATAAGGCCATCATGGATATAACACATACTATATCATCAAATACAGTCGTCTGGGAGATGATTCAAAATAGTGTAGCACTCGACATGGTTATCAAGGAGATGACATAAACATAGTATAGCATATATAAGATCTATCCCTAGTTGGTTATCAAAGACATGAATAATGACACAGCATCATGTATTTATCGAAACATTCAGTCGTAATGACACACAACAACACATACTTAAAGTTGATACAGAGTGTGGCAAGGATATGATGCCAACATCATGAAGCATCACTTATTGTCTTCAGGGAGCTTACCCATAGTTGGGCATCATCCATGGCTATCAGGACAGGGGGAAGTCACAGTGTAGGATCATATAGAGCAGGTTAAAAGATAATACGTAGTGTAGCATGATAGGTGGTTGTCAGAAAGTTGACCTATAGCATAGACTCACATATGATTATCAAAGACCTGGTCAGACATGGCATATCCTTGGATTTACAAGGAGAGAAGACTTTAGGCAGAAAATGGAAGTATGCTGTTTGTCCCACATGGTGTTACACATCAAATTGTGTCCCCCACAAAACTCCTATGTTGAATTCCTAACCCCGAGTATCTTAGAAGTTGACTTAGTAGGGAGATTTGGGACTTTAAAGAAGAAATGGGTTAACATGAGTTCATTAGAGTGGGCCCTAACCCAATATAGCTGGCGTCCTTATAAGAAGAAGAGGTGAGGATACAGACACGTGGAGAGGGAAGACCACATGAAGACATAGGGAGAAAAATGCCACCTGCAGGCCTCAGAAGAAACCAAGACTGACAACATCTTGATCTCAAACTTGTAGCTTCCAGAGTGGTGAGAAAAGAAATTCTTTTTGTTTAAGCCACTTAGTCTGTTGTACTCTGTTATAGAAGCCCTGACAAATGAATACAGTTACCCAAGAGATGATGCAGTCACACAGGAGCATTATGTGTGCTTACCACAGCCATACTGTAGTAGCATACATGGTGGACCAGATGGCAAAGATGCTCATAGCATCATACGTGATTGTCAAGAGACTACCCACAATAGATCATCATACAGTATATAGCTTCATCTGTTGTCAGAGACACAATGAGACATAGCATAAGTTCATACATGGTTGTCAAGGAAATGACCCAGAACTAGTGTAGCATCACTTTGGTTGTCAGGGAAATGATGCAAATGTAGCACGGTGACATATATTATCATGGAGATAACAGATATTATAGTGTCATACATGGTCATCAGAGTGATGACATAGACATGATTTGTGTCATATGTGGATATAATAAACTTGAAACAGACATATTTAATGTCATAGGTGCTTATCAGGAATATAAGACATAGATTTCAGCATTAAAAAATAGGAAAATAAGGGGAGCAGTCAAGATGGCGGAGAAGTAGCAGGCTGAGACTACTTCAGATAGCAGGAGATCAGCCAGATAGCATATCTAAAGATTGCAAACACCTACAAATCCAACGGGAGATCGAAGAGAAGAACAGCAATTCTAGAAACAGAAAATCAACCACTTTCTGAAAGGTAGGACTGGTGGAAAAGTGAATCCAAAGCGA